AATGCGAGTTTGGTAGGGAATTTTCATTCTATTCAGTAGGGGGCGCATGCCTAATATGAGGTGACAATTCGATTGAACCTGTATAGGCCTAAGTACCCTTTTTTCGCAATTATCTAACGTTACATTCATTTCTACACATGAAAATAATTAATAACTTAACTTAATAACTTAAAGTTTACCTTTGCCAAATACTGAAAATTATCGGTAACTGTTACATCAATATAGAACAGCAAAAGTGAACACTTTAAACATTAGGTTTTTAATAGAATTTACATTTCCAAACTAAATTAAAAATTAACAGAGTTAATTAATTAAAAATGATACGGCAATGAAAGATTTCTTTAAGTTAACTACTTGTTTAACATACAGTTCAGCTGATTTTTCTGTCATGGTCAACATTGTTAAATCATTTGTGATACACGAAACAGGAAATTTTCAGACTTGGAGGTACAGTTGTGACATTTCATATAAATGATATACAAAAACTATCCAGCAATAGTTGCACTAGCGCTAACATCCCTGTTTTGTATTGGTCTTAAAATTCCGTTCTTTTGATGACCATGCTTGAACTGCTAAATGACAAAATCATTGAACAGTGACAGCAATATTCATGTATGCTCTCTTTTCAACGTTTCTTACATCTTAGCTTATAATTCAATTGTTGCATGGGTACTGATATTCAACATTCCATCGAAATGTATTTAATGAAATTTCAATTTCAGCATTTTTCTTTTGTTATCCTTGTGTTTGTACACAGTCCATCCCACGAAATAGGCCTAAGGGTTTCTATTAAAGAAAGCGCGGGTTTTAAATTACCGAGCCGAAACCCACTCCTATTTGTTTATTTATTATCAAACAATACCACCGTGCATGAACACGACCAGTCAAGTGAGGAATTAATAAGTAGTATTGTTTGAATTCACCGATGCATGTCGGGTCGTATCCCTTGGCATATTTTTTCCATTTCTACGCATGCTTTTATTATCCTGCGTTGTTTTACAGGCTTAGCATATTTTTACTTGCAACAAGAAATTGTTCTAGCGTGTCCTGTCAATACTCAACCCTCCAATCAGTACATAAGTTTGAAACAAGATGTAACACTACCCCTGTGTTTAGGATGAAGAATAGCTAACTCTTGCATTCATCTCAGCTTTCACAGTGACAGTTTGTCTTCTAGGAGCAAAGAAACCAGGCAATAGTTATCTGAGATGCTCGATTATTTCCATGGAAACATGGAAATGCCGTGCAGAGTTAACCTGGACAATGTCATCATACAGAGAAAACCCATCTCTCTATTCTATCATCTTCAAGATAGAAATTAT